TACTACTACTACTACTACTACTACTACTACTACTACTAACAGGGGTTCGGTATTGGACGGATGTTGGATAGGTTGAAATTATCGCCGCAATCTAAAAAGACGTACAAAACAATTGAATACCGCGTCAGATTCATTCACGTTCGATTCTACATCGATAGAACCATCAAAAGAACTACCGAAAATACCGCTATTCGTGCGAAATGAAAATATTTTTGAAACAAAAGATGTTAGTGAACCGTCACTCGAAACAACCATCAAACAGAATCTGCAAACGCATGGAAGTCGTGAGACGCTTTATGGTTAGCTAGGACCATTGGGACGAAAGTACGTGAGCCTTCTTCTCGGTGACGACATAGATAAAGCGATCGATAATATGTACGGTATCTATTTCGACAAAAGTGGTACAATGCTCGGTGACAAAAAGTTTGACGTTGACAAAAATGACTCCATAATCATAGACAATGTGAGATACAATGGTACACCAGGATTATACGAATTGATCCTCAAGAGACTTTCCGATGAAGCTATATTTACCGAAGATGACAAACAAATAATATATAATATAAAAGTATACTATTAACAACGTATAAAAGTATACTATTAACAACGAATGCTTATAGACGTGGTCACAGCGCCCACAATCCCATCATGGGCAACAAGGGATACAAGTACATTAATATCATCGCTCCGTTCGTATCTACATATAAAAGAAGCAATAAAAAGGGTGCAGGCATGAATAATATATCATCTACCATGAAGTTAAATGACAACAAGATCGATTACGTGCATTGGGACGATCCCAACCAACTGGTGGATCGAATTCGATTATTCGATGCTTCGCACCGAGCTGGTCACAACGCTCACGACAGCGAGATGCTGTCGATCATCGAGGAACTTCGCGAAGCCGGCATTATTATAAATTAAATCGCGTGTCGACGAAACGAGCCAGTCGATTGACGTCAGTGAGGAAAAAACTTTAATTGTAATATATCTTATTTACACGCATTAATATCAAACATCGTCGAAACATGAGATCGTCAAAATCCGATGGATGTGAAAAAATATTAACTCCGTAAGGCGACGACTCGTCGAGGAATTGCACGCTCCAGCCAGAAGAAATTTTCCACGAAGACGTGTCATAATTCGGGGGTACGACGATCTGTGACAAGCTGATATCGTCGACATGCGCCCATATTCGAATTTCAACAGAGGTCATCATTACATACTCACCGTTATCGATGCGTTGAGCAAATATGCCTGGGCCGTACCACTCAAAAGCAAGATCGGAAGCGAGACGGCTAACGCTATCGCCGAGATAATTCGAGAGAGCGGAAGATGCCCGAGAAATTTGCAAACAGATAACGGGGAAGGAGTTTTACAATGCCGACGTGCAGAAACTCTTGAAAAACATAGCGTTAATCATTATTCCACGTATTCGATATTGAAGGCATCGATCATCGAACGGTTCAATCGCACACTTAAAAACGACATGTGGAAGATGTTTACACTTAATGGTACTTACAAGTGGGTCGACGCTGCCACGTCTCGTGTTAGATTACAACGCGCGCAAACATCGCACTATTGGCATGCGACCCATTGACGTAACTCTCGCGATCGCTAAAAACTCTTGGGCACGGTGTACAGCGCGATAAAGATCGCAGGTCCAGCAAAATTCAAAGTAGGCGAATCGGTTCGCGTGAGCAAGTACAAGACAGTTTTCGAAAAAGGACACGCCAAATTAGACAATTTACACGCCAAATTGGACCACCGAGGTGTTTAAGATCGTTATAGTGCTGCGTACTAATCCCGTAACCTATCTATTCGAAGACTATCGCGGAGAATTCGTTGCTGGAGCGTTCTACGAGCACAAGTTGCATCGCGCGACTCGTCCGGACGTGTATCTCGTGGAGAAAGTACTGCGTACACACGTACATAAATACATACGTACATACATACATACATATGTACATAAACTACAAGTATGTATATACATACGTACATACGTACATATGTATATGCATACATACATATATACATACGTACATTACATACTGTACATATGTACATACGTATATATGAACTATAAGAAATACGTGCATATGTACATATATATGTATAAAACTATATAAAAAAATACATGTATATTACAAAGATATTCGTCAATGTCCCTATGATAACGTTTCCGTCGAATCTGGTATGATGTATCGTTTGTCATCGTATGGACTCAGAACAATTTTTGACTCGGATACCGTATATATTTAGTGTAACTTGGATCTTATACATGATTGGCGATGAGTCATTTCGATCTCTTCATTCAAACACCGTGTATAATCATCGAATGTTATTGTTCGCGCTACGACGTTATTCTTTACACCTTTCGCCTTTTTGGTGTCCTTTTTACCATCCACTCTCATCGCATACATTTTCGCTCTGAGTCCGACAAATTCCGTCATAATCGCACCGTTATTTTCGTCCTTCATTAGGCCGGGTACTTTTTTATTCACGAGAGACATACCATATGCGTTGTCCGTTGGATAATCGCTCGTATCGAATCTAGCAATATCGCGTTTCATCGTCTCGTACACATCATCGCACTCAATGTGATATACAAGACTGTCTGTGTCGCTGTACATGAATTTACATTTGTCGCGATACAGCGGTAACATATATTCGTGGTGAAATTCGTACAAGAAGATTTTTGATATATCGAGTATACACATACCCACATAAATCGGCTTATTGAATTTTACCTCGAGTTTACGCAGTTCGACGGCGATTAAATTTTCCGCAAAGACGCTGCGGATGTGGAAATTTGGTTTCGCGATCATTGCCTCCGCACCGTATCGTCCGCCCCATTTCGTTATCAATTTTACATCCACGTGATTCCGGACATTTTCCATCGTTTTATCGAATACCGCGTTGTTCATTAATTTGTATAAATTTTTTTCGAAATCGTTTTTCGCGCACATTCTAAGCTATGTATTAAGTTCGATGTAATCGCGGAACCAGGTGGATTGAGCGAATTATAGTACGCGGTGTATCTTTGCGATACGAAGACCGTGGCGCGTACATTGCTGCAGATTACGATAGTGGATGACATATCGCTTTTTGTCATATAGCGTCGCGAGAAGTTTATTCTGCCGCGTGCCGGGTGGTCTATCGCGCGTCGGACAGAAAGGTAAGTCAGTGTGTCGGTCGTGCAGATGATGCGGATATTCGAGATCAACCTCGAGAATATAACCCGTAGGCGAATCCGGAGCGATCGCGCTCGCGTCAAAGTTCGCGATGTCTTCAACCCATCGAAATTTGGCATAAGGCAGCGGTTGACACATCGCCCATCCGTATAAATTGTTCACGTCGTAGTACATCAAATATGACGACGGTTTCGACGGGTCGTACGAACGCATGTAATTGATATTGGCCTGCGTGTTGGAACATTGACTAAGGCTGCCGCCTGTACCGCGCTCGATAAACATAACCATATCGATGTCAATGAGCAAATTTTACACGCGTATGTTTCAGCATGGCGTCTCACGTGAAACCTGGCAATGTGTAGTAATGAGCGGGATCAAGACTGTAACTTTTGATATCACTTTCACGGAAATTTTCAAAAACGTCGGCCAATAACAACACACATAACAAGACATCAGTCTTTAAATATAGATCGCTATATTCGCCTAAGGTTTCAATAGAGAACCGCTGCCAGATGTTCACGGCGTGCGCGTAATCATTCTCCGACAATGTGTTACCGGTCAACGAGCTATAAAATGATTCGCGCGATGGTAGGCGCGTGTCCTGCAGCTTGTCCGCGCGATCCACGTATTCATAAGGAAAGACACCTTTACGCGTCAACAAATCAAAATTCTCGTTCGATAATGTGGAAAATTCGGAATGTAAAATTTTCAATTTCTCTACTACTTAAAAAAGATGTCAATTTATCGAGACAGATACTCAAAAATTTGTACGAATCGATGAATCGTAATTGTACACAATTTTGCGAATCTGATCTATCTTTGACATGTTTAGTGAATGAAATGTATTTTTCCTTTGTTATCGGCAGCACGTCAATTTTGCCTTCGTACGCCGTAACTATTTTTGTGATAACAAAGTGCGCGTCATAACCGGATAAATTGTGAAAGACTACAGGAATGCAATATGATTTTTTATAGTTTAGATTGCAATTCGAATGTGCAGGTCTGCGGTAACGACCGGTAAGGTGGCAATGATCACGTACCCGCGTGTCGTACGACGCAAATGATTTCTCACAAATGTGACAACGCGTCGCGCTACGATATGTCTCCCACTGATCTCTCGATAATGTTTCCATAGGGACATTCGCGGATAACAAAAAATTTTTATTTGATGCACCAAATTTTCGAGTTGCCGAACGAACCATGCAACGCAGTCTTCGCCGCGACGAAATTGATACGCCGATAACGCATTGTCGTACGAGCATCGCACATAATATCCTATGCTAAATACCTTGTGCTGCTGTTGATATGTGTACGACGTGTTTTCTCTTTGCGGCTCCATCCTTCGCAGTATGCACTCAAGATCTGCGTAGACGATGAATGGAAGTCGTTCTTTGTTGCAGTAGTTCTTGAAGTCGAGCCACTTATCGTCCTCATTCGGCAATCGGATGGCGCAATCGTTCATCCGTTCGCAATCCACCGTATGCGATTCCAATTTCTCGGATGACTTAAAATAATGTAAACATCTGCAAACCGAAAACATAATTTTTTAGTATTTTTAGCATTTAAATTAACAATTATAAAATATTTTACATATTTTACATATTTTGTTAAAAAATGTGCATACGTACCGATCACAAAAGTATTTCTTGTGTTCTTTTTTACTTAGTTGCGAGCTCACAAGACGGGATAAGTTTTTGATGTACGCGAAGTGTCCATTATCGTCGCGCGGATCCTGCATACAACAAATTTGCATGTTTCTTCATCTTCTTTGTTGTCAGATGTATTGGGAGAATCTCCTTTTCCTTGATACTGTAGACGTTGATAGAGATTTCGTTGAGATGTTCGAACTTTTTAATTTGATTCAACGTCATCGGAAACGTAACGTCTTGGAGATTTAACACCGTCATATAATGTGGATACGATGATTCCCGATTTGTATGCTTTTCGACCGGATGCAAGGCCGCGACCACTGATCATGCGAAATACGCATTGTCCGTTGACTGCACGTTAATTACCGCTCTCTTTAACATAATTTCCTGCGGTAACTCGATGTAATACCCGGCGTGCATGGGATTATATTTATTAACATTAATTGTTAAATTTAATATACGTGATAGCGCCCATCCACTGTCGCGTCCTTGAAATTCTTCGAGCGATGCCATGTAGGTTCGATGATGTGCTGCTTGTACCACTCATCCACATTTGACACTCGAAAGAGTTCACTATTTTTAGTGTTTATACTTTTATTGGCGCGTTTATCACTCGTCACAAACTCGCCGTTGAACGCGATATTCACTTTTACATTATCGTGTCTTTCTACAATGTCTCGCACTCGTTCGAGCACTACATTACCGGCATCTTTCAAAAATCGTCGCGGCTCGATATAGTTCACGTTGATCACCGTATCAGTCAATATACGGCTTTCAAACGCCGTATCAATCTCGCGCCAAACGAGAGATCCATTGTCTGGTGCTCGCGTACTCGCCACCAACATGTACGAAACGTCTTTCTAATTGTACCTTTGCACCCGCGAGTCGTGCGATCCTCGCCACCATAGATTGTCTATTTGCAACAGTGAGTCGAGGACACTTAACACGATTAAGTTCTTCGAGTTGTTCGATGCACTCGTCGCATCGTTGCAGCAACGCGAAACACTCCACCAAAGTAGCGACCTGACTGCATTGTTCTAGCAGCTCGCGTTCCACTCGCTCGAGATGTTCCATTTTTTATACTACGTATTCCCACGAAGCACTTGCACTTGCACGTGATTTGTCCACAATATCTTTTTTACGCGGTGCAAATTGGGCACATGTTACATGACATTGTTATATATACGGACTGACTGCAATTGGAGCAAAATCGACCGTTTAACGCATCAAGAGTATTTATCTTATGCTTCCTAACGGCATACATTATTCCAATGTCAGTGTCCGTCAGACGAACTATACATTCGGCACATACAATTAGAGCACTACCCGTCGAATAATAAAATTGAATTGTGCAATGTTTTCTATTATTATTCAGTACAAGGAGTTCCGACGCGTAACAATTTTCTTTGCATAATCTGTTAGCTCCTCACTCTGATCATTTATGCAATCACTGTCGTCAGATAACGCGTGCTCATCATCTTCAATATCAATGTCAATGTCAATATTTCCAACATTCTCAATTTCTTCTTCTTCATCTCCCCTCACGTCCATTATATTCGCGATGTCTTCCATGTCTATATTTATCCATGTATATATTTACATTCAATATTCGCACCGTCAACTACTTTTTCACACAGTATCGCGATCGATATTCGTTTATATTTCACACAGTATCGCGATCGATATTCGTTTCGAGACTTCCGAGATCTACTGTGATGATTCCGTGTCCACGGATCTACTATATATATCATCTATAATTTCGTTGTCCCTTTGTCGAACTCGAAGCATGGTCATAGGTTTTCCGAGTCACAATTTTGATTTTTTGTAGCAGCCCAAGTTTTCCCGTTTCTTTTACCCCCAATTTTTTCTCCGATAAGAAGATTCGATAGAAAAGATTTGATGACTTTTTTTAAAGACAGCATAACTTGAAAGTAACAGTTGGAATAATATCAATCGATATCCGGAAATAGTTTTTTTCAACATAAAATGAAACTTGGTATTTATGATGGAATTTATCGGTGTTATTTATCGATGTAACATCGATAAAAAATCGTATTCAATTTTATAGTTTCCGTTCCGTGTCACTGTCAAAATTTATTTGGCTCTTACGTGAAAACTTGGACCAAACAGGAACGAGCATTCAATATTTATTATTAGGAAAAAATTAAGAGAGAAGAAGTGTCCATTTACCGACTTATTTTTATTGAATAATGGATTTTTTGAGATTGTTCGAAATTAACTCGTTACAATATGTACATTTGTTTAGCAGCCGAATTATTGGCGCTTCTCTTACTATGCTGTGACACGTATAATCGTCAATGCTATTTTTTCTAAGTCGGGACATCATTATAAATCTTCCGAATCGCAATTTGTTTAGGTACATTATTTTCATTAAATAACGGATTTTTCGAGATTGTTCGAAATTAACTCATTGCAACATGTATATTTGTTTATAGCAGTCGGATTATTGGCGCTTCTCTTAACATGCTGTGACACGTACAGTCGTCATTCATTTTTTCTAAATCGGAACATCATTATAAATCTTCCAAATAGCAATTTGTTTAAGTACATAGCAGCCGGAATATCGGCGCTTTTTTTCCTTTTTTTTCCTACGTCAATTTCTACAAAAAATATATTTTCTAGCAGCTCTTCCTAGACAAAAGACCCTCTTCCCCCTTCCCCCTCAAAAGTACATTCCAAAGGACCATCGACAAAGCATTCCCTCTTCCCCGTGCCTACCAGTTACCCCCTCTCCTCTACCCCCGCGTCCCCGAGTTACTCCGCACATCCGCACCCCGTTCGGAGTTCCTGGGTTAGAACCAGCCTAGTATACTTACTGGTATGATCATCCATATATATCAGCACGATTTTAGCCGCGATCAACTCTTTGAAGACCGCGCGTATGAACTTCTGAAACACCAATAGAGAATTATATAATCCGAATGGAACTCTCAGAAATTCATACTGCCCATTGGGTGTAACAAACGCTGTATATTTTCGGCTGTTTTCCTCCAATGCAACATGGAAAAACTCGTTTCTCAAATCGAGTGTGCTAAAAATCTCTGCTCCCCGCAGTTCGTCTAACTGATCCTCTATTAAGGATAACGATCCTTAAAAATCTTCTTATTGATCAACTTATAATCAACGCACAGTCTAATCGATCCATTTTTCTTTTTACTAAAACTATCGGGCTAGCGTATTCCGAAAGAGATGGCCGGATTATGCCATCGCGCAGCCATTCGTCAATTTGAGCATTCACAACTTCTTTCTCCGATGCAGAGAATCGTCTAGGCCGCTGATATACAGGTTCATCGTCTTTCAAAATTAATTTCATGCTTACATCGACCGTGCACGTCGAAACCGGTTTATAATTTTCCACCATTCGTTCTACATCCCATTTATATTCGTCACTAACAACACACGCTACATCAGTTTCGTTCGCTTCACGCACGTCATCAATCATAAAAATTTCCGGCAATTTAGAATCGCATAATATCGTCTTCGAGCTTTGAAATTGTGATTTTATCTTTCTTAATATTCGTCTCTACAGTGTCCAAGAAATTCGATTAACAGATTATTAACGTGCGATATCAGTAGATGGATCCGCTACTACGTGTATTGTCACTGGATACGAATGGCCATCTATCCCTATTTCGCTGCAGAACTTATCGAGTGTTCTGCCTAATCCCGAGCCAATACCGCGAAATCGAGTTTCATCGCCTTGTACAGGCGGCGCGCCTATTTTAGCGTAACCCCGTTCGCGCATTAATGTTAGGTCGCTACCCGAATCGATCAACGCGGTTACGTCGCACCCGAACAACGAAACATTCTTACATCTTTTTTGACCCTTCTCGAATATCGTTTTGAATTTACTGACGCGCACTGGATCATTCACCTTGAACTTCGCCGGAGTTGCGATTTTTACATACTACAACTGTATACCGTGGAAAGGAGTCTCTCCTTTCCATGGTATATGTCCAGTCGCATTTCAATCATTTGATGCATGCGATTGTTATACTCCGAGATTAAATGCGGTAAAAGAGTCATCTATACGATCCGTTGAGCGTAAAGAGTCTCCACATGTCGTTCTTAAGCGTGTGATTGAATCGTTCCACGATCGCTTTCATCACCGAATGTCAAATATAATGACGTATATTGTACTTCTTCGTAACTGCTTTTACAGCGGCATTATAGAACTTCTTGCCTTTGTCCGTTTGCAGGTTTCGTGGATATCAAGCATTGTCGCGAAACGTGGACAACGCTGCGGCTACCTCGCTTCCTTTTTTTACTTTTCAGCAGGGTATCACCCACACATACACGTCAATAACCATCAACATGTAGTTGTAACCCTTGTTGTGTTATGCGTACGAACGCATTTCGACTACATTGACCTGCCATAGGTTGTCGTAACCATGCATCATGACGCGACGACGCGAAAAGTTCCCTCGCGCGGCCGTGTGGGGCTTTCTGACGAGTTTCCTCTTCTCAATGTTCATCTCAATGTTCACGCATTCGCTCGCGATCGATTTACGCGGAGATGCGATTCGCGCTAGTTTTGTTCGTCGTATTGCGTATACGCTCTTATTCCTTCTTCCAAACATTAATTGCATTTCAGGATATCATGTCTTGCGTCTTGAGCGCGATTAGTACTAACTTGTCTATCCTTTTCTTAGTCATCATTTTATCTATGTTCAACGAGGCTATCGTTCTGTCCAACGTGTCTCTCATTATCGCTTTGTCCGTCAATTCTCTTACGATCCTCGGTCGATCATGTTACGCACGAGATTCTCCATGTCTCTCGAGATCCTCTCGCAGCTCGTCGATGACGCGTTAAGGTCGTTCCATAAGGATTCCTCTAGGTTCCACGTTTCTCCTGAACGTCACCAATCATTTCAACGACCTTTCTGAGCTCAAATCTTTCGCTCGCAGTTTGTCGCATCTCTCGAGAGCGCTCGTCGAGCGCTCATTCTATCGCATCTTTCATCTCCTGTATCCGTTTGTCGATCAATAAGCAAAACCTCTTTCTTTTTTTCGACTTGTTGCAGAACATCTACCTCCGTTGTTACGTCGTAATACTATAGAAAAATATTCCGAATCCGTTTGT